TTCATTTTTATGTTCCTTCTGGTTTACTCTTCATTTTCAAAATGAATTCTGCTTTCATGTCCAATTCTTTGTAGATGGGTTTCACCTGCCCTTAACAATTGTTTTTTTTACTAATCACCCAATTTATAAGCTTTGATAATTCTAATTAACATTTTCCTTTCATTGCTTCTGCAATGTTCTTTCAGCTCATTCCTTTTCTTCTAGTAATTCTATATGCAAATTGACCATAGTCTTTTTGTTTTGCTCATTTTTAAGTGCAGTGAGTTTTCGTGGTGTTTTGAGAGGGAGATGTGGACCAGGGTGGCACTTCTAATTTCATGGTCCTCAAGATCCCATTTCTGTTACTTTCCCAGTGATGGAGAGCAGACTCAGACTGCTTTGTTCCCCTCCTCTCTTTTTACCTGGACTCTATCATTCCTTTATCCCTCTGTCCCTGCCGTGCTCTATTTGTATGCAGCTCCCACCAGTTTCTCCTCAGTGCAGGCTTCAACCTAGAAGGAACCTTCAGTTTGTAGTATAACGAGTTCAAAGGATTCAGACCACAAGTTCAAAGGATTCAGACCATAGAGTGCTCCAGCACCATCAGACCTGGGGGCATTTTGGTCTTATTCATTAATCAGTGTGGGCTCCCTGGTTCTAGGGCCTTTACAAGTCCCTCTTTCTGCAGATTTCTGGTTTCTTAGAACATGTGGGCTTTGTAATTTCAGTAGTTTGCCCCGATCTGCTTATATTTGGGGGTCTGTGACGATATCTTTTCATCTAGCATTTCTGTGCTTTTTGTTTTGCTGCCACTAGTGTCTCTGTTTTCTGAGAGAAACTCAAAAACTATGCCACCATCATCTTCCCAGAATTCCTTCAGTCTTTCTTGAGAAAGAAAAATCGTTCTGTAGTTTCATAATTGACTAATATATTAGCTTATTGACACACATAACATCACTTAAAAAAGTGGAGTTTGGGGGCTGCACTTTGGAAGTTCCCTGCAATTCTAAGAGCCATTGTTTTTGCTTTTGAGTTTACTCATGCATCCAGACCAAGTATGTGATTAAGATTATGAATTTATTTCATTTGGACCAATGACTGCAGTATTGTAGAGTGGCTTCGGGGCCAGGCAGACATGGATTCAGATCCCACTCTGCCATGTATCCTTCTTGTACTTTGCACATACTAATTTATTTCTCTAAGGTTTTCCTCACCTACAACATGGAAATAGCACTACAGCAACTACCACTACTAAGTGCTTCAGATGGCAACCTGGATTAATTTATGTGGGATATTTGACCAAAGGTTAATAAATTAGCTTTTACAGTCTTTTGATTTGATTGTGCCTTAGTGCACATAAGTGTAATGAGGTGACAGTGTAGAATTCAGTTGAAAGTATAATCATTTGTTTTATATAACAAGCTTTATCGTAGAATTTTAGGGAAAATGGCAAATATTTTGTAAGTAATTTTATTAACGCATCAGAATGTGAAAGTGTGTCCTGTATTTACATGTGGTATTGAGAACAAGGCCACTAATATTGTTTGCACGGTCCCCATAGCAGGCAGGAGAGGCAGCGTGTTATGGAAAAGATAACTTTCCACTTACACTTGGGAAGAACCTGAGGGGGTCCTGCCTTCACCATTCCCTAGAAGTTTAGTTTGGTTCATTATGTCCTCAGAAAAAGCTTCCTTTTGTAGCTATGAGTTTGCAAGTTCATTCAATGGGGTTTCTAGAAACTTGCCAGAAACTTTCACAAAAACTCGGCATACAACAATAAACAAAGGCAAATAAATTTAAGTCACTCCTGCAGAGAGTAGTAAATGCTATAACATGGAAGAACCAGGTGTTATAGTAAGAGAAACTTAATCCAGACTCACAGTTCAGGAAAGCCTCCCTAAAGAGAACATTACCTTAGTTGGTAGCCAAGGCTATGTGGAAAGTCCCAAGCTAGTGGGGAAATAGACAAAAAAAGCCATGGGCCAAGATACAGAGACATGCAAGTGGCACGTTTGAGGACATGAACTTGAAAGACTGATGTTCCTAATATTGGCTGAAGTTCAGACTCACAAGAGAGATTAAAAAAAAAAAAATTCATAGGCCCCATCCCAGACTTAATGAGCCACATTCTCAGAGAGTGAGTGTCAGAATTCTGATTATTAACTCCTGGGCCAGGGGATACGGGTGGGGAGTTGGGGTGGGACTGGCTTAGGGCTCATGTGTAGGGGGTTGGAAGAGGGGATCAAGGCAGAGAGGTGAGGCAGGAAAGCCAGGGGCACACACACCATGAAAAGCTTGTAAACCACATGTGGAGTTTGTTTTTTATCCTAAGGGCAAGAAGAATTGCCTAAGGGCAATCAAAGAATTGGGGAGATAGGGGAATGAGATGTTCAGATTTATGATTATAAAGTTCATTAAGATTACTAGAACACAGCCCCTTGAGGGACACAGTCTAGTTTATGGTGTTCAACATCTTTGAAACCTCAGTCTTTTTTTTTTTTTTTTCCAACGTTTATTTATTTTTGGGACAGAGAGAGACAGAGCATGAACGGGGGAGGGGCAGAGAGAGAGGGAGACACAGAATCGGAAACAGGCTCCAGGCTCCGAGCCATCAGCCCAGAGCCCGATGCGGGGCTCGAACTCACGGACCGCGAGATCGTGACCTGGCTGAAGTCGGACGCTTAACCGACTGCGCCACCCAGGCGCCCCTGAAACCTCAGTCTTTAAAATCTAAAATGGAAATAATATCTGTTCTGTGTGGTTATTGTGTGGTTTAACTGAGATAATGTATGCAAAGTGCCTGATGCATGATTGGCACTTAGAAAGTATTAATTTCTCTTTGGAAACTCCTTCTTGACTTTATCTCCCCAACTCCATAGAACCCCCCCCCTCCCTGCCCCAGCCACACACACACAACTCCAGTACAGCTCTTTCTGCCCATGGTTCCTGTCCCCATGCTTTAATAAAATCACCTTCTGCACCAAGAAAAAAAAAGGTATTAAGTTCTTGAGAAAGCCCCAGAGCCAAATAATTGGACATCACACAGCCACCACCATACATTAGGGAGGTGAGGATTTCTGGGCAACCATACGTTTTCAGGTTCCTCTGACAAATTCTTTTCCCACCCACACTTGCAGCACTGACACAGAGAACCCACTTCTCCCTCCCTCACCATCTCTCACATGCATTATTTCAGTTATGGTCTCCATACTGACAACTTCCAAGTCTATGACACAAGCCTGGTTTTCTTTCCTGAGCTCCAAAGGCATATATGCAACTGACTTCTGGATGTCTCAGCTTAAATGTCTTGTAGGCATTTCATTCAAATTAGGCCTCCTAATATCAAATACCATCCTTTCTCACCGTAAGAACAGAAAACAACACCCTGCCTTTCCAACATGAGAACCATGGGGTCAAACCAGAAACATGGGCATCACCATCAGATCACTGGTCCTCATCGTCTCCAGTTGGTGCTCACCAACCCACACCCCTTTCTCCAGGTCCAGACCATAACCTGCATCCAAACTGCCACCACCTCTTAAGTGACCTTAATGAAATAGCCTCTGAGTCCCCAGCACATTCTTTGCCCCAACCTCAACTCTGCAATCCTGAGAGAGCTATTGTGATACAAAATTGATAAAATGCCCTTCCCCACTCTTCCCCCCCAAGACACACACTTAAACCTTTTCAGTGGCTTTCTCATGCCCTTAAAATGATCTCTATACTCTCTGCCAAGGCTAACAGTAAAGAGCCTTCAAGATCTCAGGAAGTATCATTTTCTCCCATTCTCCCTTTCATACTTATGCTCTAGCTACACTACACTGAAGAAGAAAAAAAAAAAAGGTGCCTCCTCTCTCATTCTCAGGTCTATTTCATGATTATTCCTCCATCCTGAATCCCCTCCATCCTGGATAACTCCTTATCTTTTAGACTTTAGTTTACCAACATTCTCTTGGGGCGGGGTACGTCCTTGAATGCCTCCCTTGTTGTGTGTCATTGTAGTATCTTTACCTCTTTCCTCTTAGTGCTGTTCATTACACTTATCTCCTAATGCCACTCTTCCCCACTGGATGGCAAGCAACATGATGGCAAAAGAGCATGCACAGTCAATCTACATTCTTCACAAAGTCTGTTTGGGAATTTTCACCCTCTTGCTAAAATTTTTGTAATCCTGAAATCAATACTCACAGCACTTCCATGGTCATTCTTGGACGTGCACGGCGAGGTGAAAATTTTGAGTTGCCCAAAATGCACGTTCTCAGCTGAGGTTGAACAAGATGACTCTCCGCCTTTTTGTTGTTAGCTCCCATACTGTTAACAAGCATCAATTTTATTGTCTACTTAGTGCCATATTTTTCACATCGTTGTGGGTTTTGTTGGTGATTTCACTATTTAACATGGTCCCTGTGTGTGGCACCCAGTGCTCTCTAGTGTTCCTAAACCCAAGAAGGCTGTGCCTTTCAGAGAAAATTCATGTGTTAGATAAGTTTCCTTCAGGCATGACTTATAGTGTGGTGGTGTCCATGAGTTCAGCCATGGACTCACCATGAGTTCAGGTGTCCATGAGTTGATGAATTAACAATATATGAAATAAGATAGCCTAAGTGGAAAAACCCATAAAACAAGGTTATCTATTGATCAGTGATGTATTGATCTGTTAACCTAACACTGCATTCCCCCTAGAAACAATGGTTCAGTATTTACTAACTCAATTTTTGTGATGACTTCATAAAGCATAACTACTGCAAATAAGAATAAGCTGTATTTTACTAACTTCTGTATTCTCAGTAGTTAGCATGGTAACTCTCACATAATAGTTATTCAATAAATATTTGTTGAAGTTGAATCGTGTGGTTATGTACATATGCAAACATACATAGAAATTATGTATAATAAATAAATTGAATTTTTTATGCCAAAGGTGTTCTTAATAGCCTTATCCTTACTTTCTGCTTTTTTTAAAAAAATGCTAATCAAAAGATTATTTTTGATAACATCTTTTGTTTTTAATTGTTCTCTAGGATGCTGGAGAAATGGTCCGTTCCTTTGTTGGTGGTTTGGAACTTGTCGTCAATTTACTGAAATCAGATAATAAAGAAGTTTTGGCAAGTGTATGTGCTGCTATTACAAATATAGCAAAAGATCAAGAAAATTTGGCTGTTATTACAGATCGTGGAGTTGTCCCTTTATTGTCCAAACTAGCAAATACAGTAAGTAACACATCCTTTTATTTTAAATGTATATGGTCTTAAGATATCATGGAGTAGTGGTAGAAACCATAAACTTAGAGTCCGGAGACCTGGATTCAAGCTTAATATCCATCACCTATGAGGTATGAGATTTTGGTCAACTAATTTAATGTCTCCGAGACTGATCAATGTGAAAGTGTGTTCTAACTGTACAATTTAATATGCAAGATCCTTGTAAAATATAGGCTGTTTTTTATTTGTCACTGGCAAGTAAAGTAGTGCCAAATATAAGTGTTATTATAGAAGTGTTAACTATCATTTTCCATCACCACCATCATTATCATTCATTATCCTTAAGATGATTGTTCATGCCAACATTACAAGTTAAATGCTCTTCCCCAGGCTTAGCAAGCTTGGATTGATGGCATTCTTGAACTAGAAGGCTTTGGCAACCACTGTATTATTTATTCAGAGCTGTGCCAGATAGAATAAGCAGCCTTGAGAGATAATGACTTCACCACGATCAGAGGTATTTGAGCATAGCTTGGGCTACCTCTTGGCAGGAAAGTCGTAGAGCAGAAATTCAATCACTGGAAGGATGCTTGGTTTAGAAGACTTTTTAGTCTAATTCTGAGTTCCTAAGAATAACTGCCAGATTCACCAAGTTGTTGCCTCAATCAAGAGAATAGTACAATTATTAAGCAGAAAACTGTATCCTATTTGGTTATATTATACCTATTGCAGTTACTTACATACAAAAAAAAGGATATAGTGTGTATAAAGGATATGGAAAGAAAATGGCGGACTCAAACATATCATTGTTTGCTGCACTGTCTTTTCCCTCTAGGAAACCAAGGTATATTACTGATGTAGAAGTATTCCTAGGGTGAAAGTATAGGGTGAATCTACCTATGCCAGTTAAATGAAATGCTCCCTTAAGAATGTCCAGTATTCTTTAACTACTTCTCTTTTTTTATTAAAGCACTTGCTCAAAAGGAAATCAAACCTTGAGCAAATAACAAATGCCAGGCACTTGATTGCTTTTGAGTGTATTAACTATGTTCAGTAGTCAATTAAAAAAAGTTAAACATTTTTTAAAGTCATAAGAAGAAAATTCAGGATTGAACATTGGTCCATCGGGGCCACCAAAATACTAATTTCTTTCAAGACACCACCTGAATAGCCACTTAGCCCTTCTCCCTTGACTCACTGGCATTTTATTGGATAATAAACAGGTAGCACAGAAACATGACCTCACGGGTTCTTTGCAATGCGTGTACCACAATTCATTTCCTTTGTGCAGAATAATGATAAACTGAGGCGTCATCTAGCAGAAGCTATTTCACATTGCTGTATGTGGGGCAGAAATAGAGTGGCCTTTGGCGAGTACAAAGCAGTGGCTCCATTAGTGCATTACCTGAAATCAGATGACCCCAATGTGCATCGAGCAACAGCTCAAGCCTTGTACCAACTCTCAGAAGATGCCGACAACTGTGTCACCATCCATGAGAATGGCGCAGTAAAGGTACAGTTGATTGACTTTGTGGTTTAGTCCAATGCAGGTGTACAGAGGCTGGAAAGAAACTTATGTAACAATACGGTTTAACTGATGGGGGATATTTGGACACACAAAACTGCCCATGTTGGATCATGGCTGCAGCTGAACCATGTGTTAGTATGGTTTATGCTGCAGGAAAGTTAGAGATCGAATGTTTCTAAATCAAAGATTATAAAACATCTCAGTTTAGTAATTGCTCTATAATTTGAATTTGATTAAGGAAATGTATAGCACATTAATAATTAGTGGCACTCATAATTCCACTTAATATATTATTTACTTAGCACTTAAATAAAATACTGGCATGAACTCAATAGCAAAGGAGCTGACTGAAACAACTAGACTATAGTTTGACGGTCTTAACTGTGACAGCAAAGTACCATATCAAAGACAGATTTTTTCAAAAAAAAATCTGTGCATCAAATTTTCTTTGCCTATAATCAATCTATACACAGGTAGGAGAGCTTCTGCACATAGACTTTATATATCCATGCATTCTGTTATTGAACAGGACTTGCACAACCTAACATGCCATCAGTAGAGTCTTTAAAAACAATAAAACTATAAACATTAAGTACCCTGGTACATATGCTTAGACAATTGCCAGTTCGTTTAAGAAGAGAATTTCTAGGCTACTCAAAGTCTTAAAATTCAATAAGGTTTACAGTTTAATTGACATAAATGCCAGCTGCACATGCAATTCTGAGTTATTTCCTCTTAACGCAAGTCAAGAGATAATCCAAAATCACTTTGGAATTGTATTCTGCTATGTAAAGTAATGAAACTGTGTTCACCGACCCACACAGCTTACATGTATTAGAAAAAGAAGGCAATAAAAATAATTAGGGGGAAGGGACAGGAAAGAGAGAAGCAAAGAAAGAAAATAGGGTTTGTTCTGCTCTAAAACCCTTTCCTGTGTCATCTTAAGGTATCTTGAGGGCCTGTCCATCTCACCTATTTGCATTCCTAACTACCAGCTATTTCTACTGGAGAAAAGAACGGGACGTTGTTTTTTTGTAAGTTACTTGTCACCATATAGCGGCAGGCCAAATCATGAGCTCTCCCTCTTGGGACCATGGGGGCAGCATATGGACCTGTGTCTCCCTTCTCTGGTTTTCTTTAAGGAGGAAAAAAATGTGGATGTGGCAAGTGGGTGTTGGTAGAATAAATGGGGTTTGGTGCTTGGCTATGGGGAATAAAGGAAAGGGTTGAGCCAAAAATGACTCCAGGTTTTAGGCCAGGTGAAAAGGAAGATTCTATTAGCCAAGATCATGTAAGAAAATATTTGGCACATTTAGATGGTTACAGTACCTGAGGTGAATATGTCACAATGTGTAACTGCTCACATTTCTGACTCCAAATGCATATACACTTTATCCACTATTTTGGCAAATCCCTGGTTGTTTTCATTCATAACTGCTGTACCTTTCTAGTCAAAAGCATATAGTGTTATTTCCCAGTCCTACATACATTCCTGCCGTAGCTGCCCATGAGTGATGCTGACAGGCTCTTTGACAATTACCAGAGTCATCCTGTCACCCAGTTCATAAGTTATTTATCCTAGAGTTAGTTCCTTCATCATACAATTTCCTTAACAGCAGCAGCTGATGTTATACAAGCTATGTGTCTCATGCCAACTGATGTTTATTCCATAATAACAGTTAACAGACTTGAGGGTCTGGAATAGATTGGCATCAGCTTCTACTGTGTTCAATTTAAATGGTCAGTTTGAATTTCAGGTCTAGAGCAGCGCTGTTCAGTGGAAATATAATGCAAGCCACATATGTAATACTAAATTTTCTAGGAGCTAGAATTTCAGAAAAGATAAAAAGAAACAAATGAAATTACTTTTAGTAATATATTTTATTTAACCCAATATATCCAAAATATTCTTCAACATTTAATCAATATTATTTTTTTCTTGTATTTGTGTTTTATACTTATGATACATCTCAAGGGGGACTGGCCACATTTAAGGTCTCACTGGTGACTAGTGGCTTTCTTATTGGACAGTGCAAGTGTAGAGGCAGGAGAGAAGGGAAGATAGGGATTATCAGTAAGAGGTAATTAAGTCGCAAGTGAGGGTGAATAAGTTGTTTTTGGCAGAGAGTTTAGAGAAGCTGGGGAAATGTCTACATTTGCATTCACAGAGCATATAGGTAGGAAGAAGAGCTGTTAAGATAACTTCAAGAAGTTAACAGGTTGTCTAGGAGTTCTAGAAGCCAGAGGAAGAGGGAGTTTCCAAACGGTTTGTGTTTAAATACTGTTAAGCGGTCAACAAGGACTTCCAGACTCAATTATGTTGAAAAATAATCCTGGAGTTACAGCCTTTCCAGGTAAGACTCTTCTATACACCCTGAGAAATCTCCTGTTCTGGTAAATGCAGCATGAGAGGAATAATATAATATATAATATATTATAATATAATATATAATACATTATTATATAATAATAATATAATCCTTATCCTCTTTATGATTTTACACAAACCTTCTCAAAAGCATCAAAAAAAAACCCATCAAAAGGCTTTGCATCGTTACAAAGCCTTGTGAACGTGGATGCAGATCTGTTGGCAATTCTGCTGAAAGTGTGAGAAGTCTAAGGGATGTACCAAGGTTATTTGCTAATTATAACAAAACCATAACACAGGAAAGTCATACAAGGAGGGAAAGAAGTTGCAGGAAAAACTTCTGAGCAAGATGAGCAAAACTTCACTGAGCAAGATGAGCAGAAAAAGTGATCAGATAGAAAGATGATGAGCACCTATAAAAGGCATTAAGCTCCCTTCCCCATTATAATGTTGGATTTGTTTTGCAAATATCTATACCAGGCAGGTGAAAGCTACATTATGACCTGTAACTTTCTGGAAGGCAGGAAATTGAAGAGATTGCAAAAAATACAACCAGAAGTGGGTCCAACAGAGAGAGGGAGGAGCAGTTCAAGTTGGGTGGAAGGAAAAGGTTGTCTTGGCAGCCTCCTAGACTCAGCACATGAAGTGGCACTGCAGAGAGTATGGAAGATGAACCCTGAAGCCTGGCACAGGCAAAGAAAAATATCACTAACACTTTTGAGTCAGGTAAAGGGACTTCAGAGGCTAAGATCACCCAGTAATTCTCACAGTAATGCAGTCCACATACTTAATGTTTGATTGAACTGTAATATTTTCTGTTAATTAAAACTCTTTATGCAACTTTGTGGTCTTGTGTACTTTCCTCACACTCCAGATACTCCCTGGAGTGCTGGGGATAGTCTGCTGGTGATATGCTATTAAATTACTTAGTTAGCACTAGTAGGTATGAGTGACTATGTGATGATACCAAATATGGAGTTATATATAGACTTGCTTCTGATTGGCTTTTTCCTGTTATTTGCATTTATCCTTTAAAGTGAGAAAAAAATGTAAAAATTACTTAAGGATTCCAGTAAGTTAGATTTTTAACTCTAATATTATATATATACATATATATATGTATATATATATCTACACACATATGTATATACATATATACATATATATATCTCAAATGTTTTCCCTATTTCATTTCTATTTAACTTAAAACATGTGATAGCTTTATAAATGACACATGCACATGTTTAGAAGGTCAGTTTGAAAAATTTTAATGTATATATGAATACCCAGAAGCCATTATTAGATCAAAATAATGACTTCCCCCCAAAGTTGATGTTGATGAAGTTCTATTTATCTTTTTCTTTTTTAAATGGGCTTATGTCCAAGAAATATTTGCCTAATACACAATCACAAGGATTTTCTATGTTTTAGTATGGAAGTTTTATAACTTTTTGGTTCTGCATTTAAGTCTGTGAATGATTTTGCGTCAATTTTTGTTTATGATCCTAGGGGGCATCTGAGCATCATTTGTTGAAATATACCCTTTCCCCACTGAATCTCTTTTCTAATTTGGGGAAAAAATTTAGTTGACTATATCTGCTTTGTTCCATTATTCTGTTTGTCTGTGTTTACACCAATACCACATTGTCTTAATTACTATATTGTTATAGTAAGCCTTAAAGTTAGGTAGTATACATTTTCCTACCTTTTTCTTTTTTTAATTATTTTGGCTATTCTAGTTTTGTACATTGCCATAAGAATTTTTAAACCAGTTTGTTAATTTCTACAGGAAATGCTTTCTGAGATTTTGAGATGGCATTGAATTAAGAGAAAATTGACATGGTAACATTATTGTCATCTGACTCATAAAGAAGAAATATCTCTCCGTTATTTTTGTGTTATTTATTTCTCAGCAATATTACGTAATTTTCATCACATAGGGTTTTTACATCTTTTGTCAGATTTACCCCTATGTAAGTGTTTTTGATGCTACTCTAAGTGGAATTTTTAAAATTTCAATTTCTAATTGTTCATTGTCATTATGTAGAAGTTTAATTGATTTTGTGTGTTAATCTTATATCTCACGACCTTGCTAAATTCACTTATTTGATCTAGTAGGCTTGTGGAGATTCTGCATAAATTTTCTATGTAGATTTTCTACACAGACCAGGGATTGGCAAACATTTTCTCTAAAGGGCCAGATAGTAAATATTTTAGGCTTTATGGGCCACATAAAGTCTCTGTTGCAGATTCTTCTTTTATTGTTGTTATTATTTACAACTATACAAAAATGTAAAAACCATTCTTCATTCTTTGAAGCCATACAAAAACAGATTGTCAGTTGCCAGTGTCTCACATAAACAATCGTGCCATCTACAAAAAAAGACTTCTTTTTCTTCTTTTCTAACCTGGATGCCCTTTATATATTCTTGCCTGACTTCATGGGCCAGAAGTTCCTGTATAATATGGGGGGAAAAAGTGGTAAGAGCAGATATCCTAGTCTTATTCCTTATTTTGGAGGGAATACAATCAGTCTTTCACCATGAAGTTTACTGTTAGCTATAGGTTTTTGTTAGGTGACTTTCATCAGGCTAAGTTTCTTTCTATTACTACTTTA